TGAAGTGTTTTTTAGAGAGTTGCCAAAAAAGGAAATTTTTAGGAAATTTGAGATTTGCGGGAAAGAGTTTTTTTTTTTACCAATCAATAAGTTTATTAGAATAACGATTTTGGAAATTATTTAATATATATAATAATTCCATTAAATTACTGTATTAGCCCATCTGTATTACCTAGGAGAACTATTGAAAGTTATAAGAAACTTGTAACAAACTTGTAACAAACTTGAAAGGAATATATTCAAAAATATCCACTACCTAATCATGGGAGATATTACCAATTCACTATACAAACTTATGAAATTTTTCAAAAGAATATGAAACAAATTTATTAAACAAAGTATTCATCTACATACTATATTGTACCAATTAGAATTCTAGTTACTGTATTATATTATATTAAATTAGTTTAATATTTGATTTCAATATTTTCGGTTCAGTATTGATATTACAAAGTTTCATATTGAAAATTTTCGGTATCGGTTTTATAAAATATCATACTGAATAGTACCAATCAAAACCTTAGTTGTATGAGGTCAGACGAAAGAGACAATGGTAATTTGTTTTTAAAAGGCTAATTTATTTATTTAATAAAATAAAAATTCAAATCTATTAATTTTTAGGTAAAACTGGAAACTTTATATACATGTTTGAGTTATATTATTTTTATACATGATAAATATATGCTATGTTAAAAATATAAACTTATTTAATTTCAATAATTTCGATACTTTCAATTTGGTATCAATATTGTAAAGTTTTATACTGAAAATTTTTGGTAATTACTAATATCGATACCGAAAAATATTTTTGGTATCAGTTTTATAAAATACCATACCAAATGGTATTGATTGAAATCCTAAACAAATGAAATCTTAATCCTAATTAATGGATGAGCAATATATCATCCCCATAAATTGTATCTAGAGACTCTTTATTACAGATAGGTGAGCTGGGTCAAGGAAATTTATATGTGCAATTTATATTTGTAATGGTTCATTTTGATTAAATAAATAAACAACATCAACCTAATTGAAGAAAAAAAAAATCTATATAAGATTTAATCTCTAAAGATATATATATTTAATTAATATAAAAAAAATATAAAAGAAAATAATATAAATATAACAATACTATTGATGAAATGAGTAATACAAGGTGTGTTATACAAGTGACATAAACAAGTCAATGAAAGGAGCAACATTTTAAGAATACAATGGTTTTTTCTATGTTTCTCTAGAATATCTGGAACTTGAAATATCTTAAGGTAACAATTCTTTATTATATCTAGGACATATAACATATATATGTGATATTTTGTATATAACACATGATATATAATACCCAATTTCAAAAAATAATTGATATTATAATAGTATAAGTTTACAAATATCAATAGTTCTATTTTGTTTCACTTTTAGTTTGTCTAATTATTAGTAAGGGATTTTAAAGATATTAGGATAATTAGGATGAAATACTGGTTTATTATTTTATTGTTTCATTTTATATTACATGCATATAATCTCTGAAGAACCAATAAGATTATATAGTAAATCCTCTCTAAATGTACACCCCTCGGGACCATAAGAAAATTTTTGAAAAATGTACATTTATGAAGATAATTTTATTAAGAGTTCTATGTACTTGGGACCAAGCTTGACCATGCATTTAAAGAGAGAAAATATAGTAAGTGCATTTATAGAGGGTGCATTTAGGGAGGTCTCTTTGTATATAAATATAAAAAATATTTATAATTTTATAAAGATTAAAATAGATATAAAAAAATAAAAAAATAAATTGTTATAAACTTTTTTTTATATAATTAAAAAATAAATATAATTTTTAAACTTGAATAGATTCCAATTAAAGATTTTATTTTATTAAATTGGTTATTTTAAAAATTTTAAGTTTTTGAACAAAAACTTACTTATAATAAAAAGTATAAACTATTTTTCTTGATAAAATTATTATCATATAAAAGAAAAAAATTTTTAATAAAGTAAATATAATTAGAATAAAAGAAAAATTTTTTAAATAAAATATATAAATATAATTACAAAATAATTTTCTTTTTTTTTTAAAAACTATATAAACAAAAAATATTTTTATTTTAATTAATTAATATATATATTAAAATACAAATAACTTGAATATATAATATATTTAATTTATTATTATATTCATTTGTAATAGTTAAAAATGTTTAATCTGAATTTAATATTTTATATAGTTTCTGTATTAAATTATTTATTTAACTAAATATGGGCTCTATTAAAGTTAGCATAGCAATTGACTATAATTTATGCAAAACAATAAAAGCAAAACTCATGGCCTGTCAACGGAGTCAATATAAAATAGTTTATATCTTTTAATTGTTATGTAGCTTTTGTACTCTTTTATTTTTTATATAATTATCTTCAGTTGCAACTCCCGAGAGAAAGAATTTAAACAGACCATTCTCCCTTGTACTATCTAAAATTATTTTCCATATTTTCTGTAGATATTTTTATACAATTGCTAAGTGTGAAACAGTATATTATGCGTAATAAACAAAAAATGGATTGTATTGTGCAACGATATTCGTTACACGAACAATGTTAAAAAGCAAAATACGCGCGACAAACGTCATCATGTATACTGACTTTGTTTATAATGTCAAAACTGCCAAGGTCTTTTATTCCTTCTCGCCTGCCTCAAAAAGGAAACCTCGAAAATTTGTCCAGAAAAAAATTTTCACAAAGTGCATTAAAACAACCCTTGATATCAGGTACTGAATTTTTTAACTAAATAATAAACCTTAACATATAAATTGTGACTTAGTATTTTCGCTCTAGACCAACGAAACGAAAAGTCTTCTATGTTTTCGCATCAACCGTTAACTTTTAAAAGCTCCCTCAGAAATGGGAAGACAAACAGTGCTAGACCAAGCAAGATTCAAGAACAAACTAATTCGGTACCTTCTCGCAGGGAGGTTGCAAAACAAGAAAAGGTGACAACACAACATTCTATCAATGGTAGTCTGAAACGTAAGAATGACGACAACTATTCACAACAGACGCGAAATGTGCGTAACGTCCCATTTCGTAACAAACCGGAACAACCTTCAGCCGACAAACCAGAATCTTCAAAACTCAACACTAACAGGACAATTACAAAAGCTCGAACAACGATTAATAAATCAACCAATAATGTCAGTGAGTTGAGAAAAAAACAACCGGATTCAGCTGCTTCATCTAATAAACGAGATTTGGAAACCCTTCGCGAAGAAAATAATTTACTTGTCGCCGAACTAGAACAACTCAAAGTAGAACAAAAGAAATGGTTAGCCGAAAAAGAGCAACTCGAAGAAGAAAAGAAACAAAGTATACTCAATAAGAAATCCCTATTGAATGAAGTTTGTCAAATGGAGCATCGTCTAGCGTGTGAGGAAGCTAAGGTTATTGAACTTGATGAGGCATTAAACAATTATAGGAACCACTTAAGCATATTAGGCAATGAGAATAAAGATTTGGATGAAGAACGAACTCGATACAAAAATGATATTAAGTCAGCTAAGGATCGAATTTTAACTCAATCTGAGAAGCTTGCCGAACAACAATCTCACATCACTGTTCTTGAACTAAGACTGCAAGAGCAGGAACAAATCTGCCAGGATCTTCGAAACACAATTGAGGTACTAAAGGCCAATAAATAATCTTGTCTGCTGAGTAGAATTGTTATATCTTATCGTACACACACACATACCAGGATATTAGATACAAATTTTCGTCTGATCATAATTTTATAATGGTTTACGACAAAATATACTCCAATACATCCATTCCCAAAATTACAACTTTTTAGTCACATAATTTTGGTGTATTTATTTTTTTTCATATAAAAAATTTCTTTTGTTGCATCGCTTTATAGATACTATTTTCAATAAAAGATATTTAATTGCATGCATTATAGTATTGATAAGTATATATGCAAAGTTTAATTTTAACATACTCACTTATCATGTATCAAGTCTAAAATATTTTATATAACTAGTGATCAACCTATAGCAACAGACATATCAAATTGATTGCTACAATAGTAAAATAGTAATTAATATTAAATTAATTTACAATCCGGTTCAAAAAAAACTGGAATAAATTATATTTTTAATTTTACTTATAATTTTTTTTTTCTGGTAGGTAAATATCATTTCTTTATTTATTAATATTATACTTAAATTTATATACATTTGTGAAAGAAACAACATCTCTTGGATGCAAAAAGCATACAAGTTAAATGCTAGCTTGCCTATCCATCTATATCTAGCTAATATTGAAAAGAATTTAAAACAATATTGTATATACTAAATATAGCTGAAAGCAGCTATGCTTACTTTGAATTTTTTAATTGAATATAAAAAGAATAGAAAATAGAAAAAAATTGAAAAAAAAAATAAACTAGGGCTACAATAACATTGGTTACTAAAACTAAAACTAGATCACTTGAACTGTAAAATCCATATAAACAAAAAGAATATCTAAAAGGTGACCAATAGTCTGGCCCTTGCACTGGCACTGAACTTAGAGATATGATCCTTGTTGACATGAATAATAAAGTATAATTAACGTTGTTTGTTATTGTTGTAGTTGTAGTTGTTGTAGTTGTAGTAGTTGTGGTTGTAGTTGTTGCAATTGTTATTGTTGTTGTTATGTTGAAAACCCAATTTAAACAGTTTCGGTTTTTTCTTTGTTGTTTTGATGAAATCTGATTGGATAATTGAAGAGTGATGATCATCTGAAAAAGGTAAACTGATTTTGATTTTTTGAAAAAATTTTTTTAGAGATTTTGAAATAGTACAGTAAATAGTGCCATGATCTAAGCAATATAGAATAAGATTCAAGCAATTGGAGAATTCTTGAAAGAGAAATGCACAGAATATGAGGCGTT